ATCATACCATCTGGGTTTTGTCCAGATTGGTATAGGATCTCCTACAGTGGGCAGGGGGGTTGGACTAAAAGACTTCCAAGATCCCTTCTAACCCCATTATTCTGTATCCCATGTTCTAAGTGGCCTGTTGCCTTCCCAAATGCACAGCTCACCTTTGAGATAGGACTATTCTAACAGACAGAATATTTATGTCTTTGTACTCCCCTGTTTAGAGGTACTGTTGTGTCTTATATATTGATTACTGCTTGGCATTACTATATAGATCGGGTTAGTAATAAAAACCTTGGACCATAGATGGATACTGGAACACTAGCTTCAATAAATGCACGCGTGCTTGCAGACTTTAGTTATAAACTTGTTTATTGAGGGCAGGAGTTACCAAGCTTTTCTATACTCCCACCACTAGAACACTTCTGATATATTCTCACACCCCTTACAAAAGTAAATCATTATGTATAATTTTGAAACATCTAAGTTTTCGCACCCCCTGGAATATTGTCTCGCACCCCCAGTTGGGAACCCCTGATTTAGGGAGTAAACAAGAAGAGCTTGCTTCACGTGTTAATTTAGAAAGATGAGTAGAACTGATGGAAGACCTGACAGAGGCCAGGTAGAACTTTGGGTCTTTCTTTAGTAATAATTAAGATGGATTTTTTTCAGGGTGGAACAACTAAACAGCATTCAGAGCCAGCATTTTGGAGAGTATGCCATACCTTGGACTCTGACAAGAGTCAGAAGACACCAGAATCTGGGAAAATGTATACAACTGATAACCCAAGGGACACCAGGTTTCAGGGAAACTCCTCTGCTGACCCATGGTTTTTTTCATGCTAAAATGAACTTTCGTGCGAGTGCTTTTCAAAAGTTAAGTTTGTCACTGGAGCCCATTTCTGTTCATCTCTTAAATGATTATTAAATGATGATGATAATGATAATGATTTTGTTATTTTGTTTAGTGAAAGCTAATGCACTGAAGATAAATTGCTTAGGTCACACTTGGTCTTCTGTTCTGTTTCTGTTCTATTCTGCTGTGCTCTGCTCTGCTCTACAGCAGGGGTCTTCAACCTTGGCAACTTTAGGACTTGTGGACTTCAACTCCTAGCAAAGCTGGCTGAGGAATTCTGGGAGTTGAAGTCCAAAAGTCTTAAAGTTGCCAAGGGTGGAGACCTCTGCTCTACAGTGAAACCCCTAGCTCTGCCAACAAGTGTGTTCTCTGAATGCTCTTCAATCATTAGCAAGGATTTTCCATGCTTTTGGAAGAGGCAAATTCCCTGGAAGTACTCTATTTTCTCAAAGAGTAGACTGCCTGCTATGCTAGGTGAGCTGCTCCTAATAGCTGCTCAAAACAGGTACACTGTGCTCCATCTGGCAAGCTTCCATAGTAGAAACTGAGCCTTAGAGACAAGCAGAAAAGAATTATCCTTCAGCAGATAATCACCCAGCATGGAAACATGGCTGATACTAGATTCTTGCCAAAGCTGAATTCTCTCTTTTCGTAAGAATTATCCTCTTGATATTACTGGATTCCTTTCATATTATGTGGAAATAGAGGGCAGAGCAGAAACTCCTACCATGTGAGCTGTCTCTCCATATGCTTCTAGATATAAAAGATGACTGAATAATAGATGTCCTATTTATTTTAATGTTTTTAATTTTAGCATAGCATTAGCTGCTACTATGCTATGTAGCATATTGGGCAGCAAGGCATCTGCAGCATTTTTGGCTTTGGGTGAGTACTTCAGTGTCTTCTCAGGTGATGTTTAAAGTCATCTATGAACATTCTTTGCCATGTATTTTGAGGGCATCCTCTTGGTTGTTTGGCATTGGGGGTGGTGATGTTTCCATCTCGTAGCCATCTTGGGAATTCAATTGTTCTCCATGCAAAATATATGACCTGCAAGTTGGAGTCTTCTGCTTGTGACAATGTTATGTAATGGTTTTTATGTTTTTATGCCATAAGCTGTCCAAAGTTATTAGATATGAGGTAGGTGGCAAATAAAGTTAATAAATACATAAATAATGCTGAAACAGATATGCAGATATCAACAGTTTTTAACAGATTAACAGAGTTGGAAGGGACCTTGTAGGTCATCTAGTCCAACCCTTTGCCCAAGCAGGACACCCTACACCATTTCTGACAGATGGCAGTCCAGTCTCTCCTTGAAAGCTTCCAGTGATCTTCATCACTTCCTCCCACAACTTCTGAAGGCAAGCTGTTCCTGTGGTTGATTGTTCGCACAGAAAATTTCTCCTTATTTCTAGGTTGAATGTCTCCTTGGTCAGTTTCCATCCATTCTTCCTTGTCTGGCCTTCAAGTGCTTTGAAAAATAGCTTGACCCCTTCCTCTCTGTGGCAGCCTCTCAAATATTGGAAGACTGTTATCATGTCTTCTCTAGTCCTTCTCTTCACTAGACTAGCCATGCCCAGTTCCGTTCTTCATATGTTTTAATCTCCAGTCCCCTAATGATCCTGGTTGCTCTTCTCTGCACTCTTTCTAGAGTCTCAATATTTTTTTCATAATGCTGTGACAAAAAGTGGATTCAGTATTCTAGATGTGGTCTTACTGAGGCTATAATATTAATTTCTAAATTCAGTTTTTGTGGCTATCTGCTTATCCATGTCTAAGGGTAGCTTACATGATCATCCTGGAAGCCTCAGGCAAACATCTGGTAGTTGGAAATCCCCAAGCAACTCAATACCTTAAAAATATCAAATATATTTGAGAATATACATCCCACTTTAATATTTTTCCTGCAGCAACCCTTGAGGGTAGATGTAACGGTGCTTAATGATAACGAAAGACTGTTCTTGCGGGAAAGATGTATTAGAAACACAGACTTCTGTCTTCTGTGTTATCACTCACAGGACTCTTAGAGGCCTCAATACGAAAAACTAAAACACTTCCAAACAATACTTCAGAATGCCTATTTGCAGATAGTGCCTAAAATGAAGTGGCAAGATAAATTTTGTCTAGCAACAGCAGACTTTAGTGGAGTTATTAGAAGAGCAGATATAATCAGAAATCAAACTCAAGAGGATAATGGCAAGGAGAGTTTTAGTTCAGTGTATTATCTCATGTTATCCCAAGAACCACTGGATCGTGCCTGGTATGCTATCGCCTAATGAATCACACACCAAGGGCAGAGATAGGAACAACCTTATTCTGTGCAAAATAGGCCACCTGAGAATTTTTCTTCAAAGCAGGTGTGCCAATCAAGTCCCAAAGCTTTATATTCATGGTCTCCAGCAAGCATCATGTGCTCCTAGAGGTTAACAAAACAAGCAGATGTCTACCTAATAAGCATTTCTTATCAGCAAAACAAGCATTTATCAGATCTGGTAAGTATCATGTGGCCAGCAAAAAGCAAGCTTAAATCAGTCAAGTCTGTTGTTTTTCATCCCTGCTTGTTATCATTTTCTGTACCAGCTTTCCTGTACCACAACAGTCAAGGCAGGGTTACTTAGATGCCACAGCAACATAGTGGTTTTATTTCTAAATTTATCACTTTAGCTGGGTAGATGGTTTGCAATTATATGCAAAGAGAATCGTGCCTGTTACTGTGCAAGCTTTTCTGAAAGGGTAGTCAAAGTCACACAAAGTATTAAAATGGCTGAAAGGTACCCCTAAACATTGGCTTATCAAACAGGAAAAGGGGCAGGTCCCCATTGGATTTCTACACAGTGGTGGTATTCAATTTTTTTTACTACCGGTTCTGTGGGCGTGGCTTGGTGGACGTGGTGTGGCTTGGTGGGTGTGGTGTGGCTTGGTGGGTGTGGCAGGGGAAGGATACTGTAAAATCCCCATTTCCACCCCACTCCAGGGGAAGGTTATTGCAAAATCCCATTCCCTCCCTACCCCACTAACCAGCTTTCCAGTTCCATTTTTCTGTGCAGGGCAACAAAAGAAGACCCAGCCGATCAGCTGGGACTCAGAAGGCAGAGAATAGATGGGGGCGAGGCCAGACAGAGATGGCATTTGCCGGTTCTCCGAAGTACTCAAAATTTCTGCTACCGGTTCTCCAGAATCTGTCAGAACTGGCTGAATAGCACCTCTGACTCCACAGGAAGAAAGGGAGAAGCTAACTGATCTGAGAGAATGTGGGGTGAGCTAGGAGGGGTGGAAAGGCTCTTTCCTCAAGGATTCTTGATTGCAGCTGGTGTGTCTTGAGAGCTGATGATTGCTCATTGTAGGCGATTGATTAGTCACATCCTGCTGAGGAAGCAGAGACTATAGGAGGAATAAAAGACAAGGTAGGCTTTGAAGTCAGAGCGCCCTGACTGAACAAAGAGAGCTAACAGGAGTTTGCTGGGGAAATTTAATAAATCTAATAAGCTTTCACTCTCATTGTTTCTGAAACTTTTGCAGTCACATACTCTACTAAATAAATGTGGAGGCCACTCAAATAAAGAATCCCACCCTCCTACAGTACATCTTCATAGGCTCATATCGATTTGAAATGTCTCCCAATGCTGTATTTACATGGCAGTTAGATTTCCCACGAGAGCCATTTTGGTGTAGTAGTTAAGGCATCAGGCTAGAAACCAGGAGACCACCGTGAGTTCTAGTCCTGCCGTAGGCATGAAGCCAAGTGGATTATTTCTCTCAACCCTAGGAGGGAGTGAATGGTGAACCACTTCTGAAAAACCATGCCAAGAAAACTGCAGGGATTTGCCCAGGCAGTCTATGACAATCAGACATGATTGAACAGAAAGGAAATAAAAGCTTTCCCATGCCTTTTGGAAATATGATCTGCCTTCACAACATAGTAAAAAAAAACCTTCCCACGTGAAAGGTAAAATATTTGGGAAAATCCTACTCTTTTCAAATAAATACAGTAAATCTAAATCTTATCTCAGATTTCTGATCCTTCCCATCACAAAATGTTATTCCACTCAATATCTCTAGTTTTGTCTTGTGGAATCCAAACTTGCAAGCCTCCCCAGGGAGGCCATACAGGAAACACAATCAGATGCATTAATACTTCTAAATTGTAAGGCTACTTTAAAAAGTCTGAAAATAAAAATCTCCCATTATGTCCGTTATACCTGAGAAGTTAGAGAAGGCCCCACCTCTTTCTCTGCCTCTTATGCAGCTATGAGCTTGTTATCTGATTTTTCCCTAGGCAGTATCTCTTCACCCTGTTTCTCATGGTCTTTCTCACATACCATTACATTCACCTCTGGTCTTCTTCGCTGCTTCTACTTCATCTCTAGATCAGAGGTGGTATTCAGCAGGTTCTGACCAGTTCAGGAGAACCGGTAGCAGAAATTTTGAGTAGTTCGGAGAACCGGCCAATACCGCCTCTGACTGGCCCTGCCCCCATCTATTCTCCACCTCCCGAGTCCCAGCTGATTGGCTGGGTCTTCTTTTGTTGCCCTGCACAGGAGAACGGAGCTGGAAAGCAGGTTAGTGGGATGGGGGAGGGGATTTTACAGTATCTTTCCTCTGCCACAATCACCAAGCCACGCCATACCACACCACTCCCACCAAGCCACACCCACAGAACTGGTGGTAAATTTTTTTGATTCCCACCACTGCTCTAGATGTCCTTGCTTTTGGGAGATCCTCAGGGAAAGGCTACTCTATCTTGTCATGCCCTTGAGTCACTCTCTATTGTACAGTTTGACTAGGCTCTTGGTATAATTGTGTACCAACACATTGAGAAAATTCCCAGTATATTCTCATAATTAAACAAATGATCAGATGTTAGAAACTTGGTCTTTTCAGATGCCATGTTACTTTGGAAATTACTAATAAGGTTCAGTGATTTCTGCATATCAAAAGGCTTTAATGAAAAATAAGTGTGCTGCTGGTTTCTATCTTTTGTTCAATATTCAAATTATAACACCACTTTTAATATCAAATACACAGCAAATGTGTGCCTTCCCAACCATGTAAACCATAAACAAAGTTGAAAGTTTACTAATTTAACCATAACTTTTAGCCTGCTGCTTTAAAGCAGTTGTCGAAAAAATTATTTTTTGTCATTCGTTTCCATTGGAATTTCTTTAACATCTCAACTCGTATCTCTTAGAAGGCAGAATTCACTTAAATATCCTGGCTCCAGTACTTCAGAAATTTCTTCATGAATATTAATTCTATTACACAGTGCTTTGCTTTTTCCTATGTTTCCAGTACTAGTAGCAAAGGGAATTACCTTTCCTTTGATAAATATTTGCATATTGAAAATTGTGTCCGTGCATCTGTCTTTGAAATGCACTATGTTGTCAGTAAAATCTGTAAGATGTCTGGAAATCTAATTTGAAGGAGGGAGGCATATGAGAGCTTATATCACCAGCATTTGTCATACTGAATGGGGCGGAATAGTACTGTAGACTATTGTTGTTGTTCTGACCCTACAGATTTCTGTAAACTGTTCTGAGGGCTTTAAATAAAACTGTAAAAATGATGGCTGCTTTCCAGTGTGGTCCAGAGCCCTGTAGTCAAAACATTGCTTAGTCATGGATCCTGCTGAAAATCAGCACCCAGGTAGGCCCACTCAGAGGGGCAAAGCGGAGGCTCAGTAATGAAGGCAGATTTAGTTCAGTCAAGCGTCACATCCATTACATGGTTGGGTGGCAGCAAATATGCTAAGAAGAGAATGATATAGAGAAGATTAGCATGGTCCCTTGGCAAGGCCCTTGCCATGAAGGAAAACAAATTAACACATTTTACAGTACATATTGTATTTGATAGTGGTATGCAAACGTATTTCTGTGTAGACATAATGATGTGTCTGTGTTGCTAGATATTGTAAGATTAGCTGGGGTCAAAGAGAGTGGATGATTACAGAGCATTATTCTCTATTGTGAGCTGTTGAATAAACCTCAGGGATTTTTTTTTAGTGTTCTCCTGTAACAATGCTTGTCTGTGATCAGAAAACAAGCATAACTCTGAATGATTTTCGAGAGTAGCATTTTATCCTGGCTAATACCTAACATGATGCATTAGGTTTTTTATTTTTCCTTTCTGGAAGGAAAGCTAATTAAAAGTATCAGCCATCTCCATTTGGAGAGGGATATGTATTCTGGCCCTCTTGATCACTTGATCAAAATTCTGTCACCTCATTCTGTCTGTATAGATGACTTAAAAGCTCCTATAATGCTTGTTTAATGTGTTAAATGCAGAAAGAAAAAAGGGGGCAAAACCGCTGCACTTCTAGCATCGTAAAGGGCTGTGTGACTGAAAATTAGTCATTGATCCAAAGCAGAGTTTCTTCATCTCGGCAACTTTAAGATGCGTGCACTTCAACTTCCCAAAGTCTCCAGCCAGGGAGACTTAAACTTATCAAGGTTAAGAAACACTCTGCTTATCAGAAGAATCAGAAGAATATATATATATTCTTGTGTGTATATTATATATATACACACACACACACACACACACACACACACACACATTTCTATCTGTGTTCTGTATGATTGACATTCCAGATCCTATTGAAAACTCTGCAGGAAGGCTTTCCTGGCCCAGCCTCTTGTAAGGTTACTGTTAGTGGTCTCTGCAGTAATGTCAACTGATAAAATGAGCATTGTGTGGTGCAATGCATGTTCCTCTCCTTTTGTATCCATGTCTGTAGCCCTCCACTGCAGTTTTCATCATCTTTCACCACTAGTTGATCTGATTACAATTGAAGGTAGCTGCTTTAACTTTCCATCCTTTTTACAAATCTGTGTCTGTCTGTCTGTCTATCTATCTATCTATCTATCTATCTATCTATCTATCTATCTATCTATCTATCTATCTATCATCAATCTACCCATCTCCAGCCTTTATTTTCTATGACTCAAGGCTTCGTTCATAATGTTCTCACTTCCAGTTTTCTCCAAAACAACCCTGCAAGATAGCTTGGGTTGAGAGAGAATTATTGGCTCAGAATCACTCAGGATGTCTCAGGGAGGACTAGAACCCACTGTCTCTGTGCTCTTTGCTCTCGGTTCCTATCCAGAAAGATTCTGGGGCTAACTCTGCAGAGATCAAGGAGAAGATAATAAGCAGCATTGTTTTTTTTTTAAATGCAATCTGTCAACTCATAAAAGATTTCTATGGTCTTTTTGGAGTTGTCAACAGAAAGGGAGGGGGGAGCAGTGCAGCAACCTGCAAACCAAAACTGCATTCCATAAATGTTTTCAAAGATAGTAACTAGGTGACTGAAGTTTCTGCCACACAAAATTCTAACTGGAGAGCATGATTGATGACTCTTGGCTATGGAGGTGTCCCATTGGAGAATATGAATTATGTTACACCCAAGGGGTGCGGGGAAAACCAGGGTCAAAGGTGACAGTGAATTATATGCCTCAGAGTTGGCTACACCCAGGCAGTGCTGGACAGTTTAACTCCGAATAAATCCTTTTTTTAAGTTTTGGAAGTTTGGCTTGAGACTCATGATTTAAATGGGGTTAAGTGCTAGAATCCTGATAGCAATCTAGATTTGCACATCGTTGTGATGACGAAAGGAGAACAAATTTGCATAGAGCTCAAGTTTTTTTGGGACTTCCTCAGCAGACACTACCAGCCGTGAGGGAAGTTTGAAAACTTTATTCTCCTTTTGCATTATGGTTTAAACTGGGTGGCCTGGACAGTTTTTCCAACAGAGTTTATTTACAAAGAGAAGACTGTTCCTTGCAATCTCTCAGAGGAAACAACCTCTTGCTAAATGGTGGTGAAGCCTTCAGCTCCTTTATTAACTTTGCTGCATGCCCAGGAACTATGTTTGCTAGTCTGAATGAATGGAATATGATTTTTTGGAGGGTAAATAATGGTATCTCCTAGAATTGGAGGTTTGAATATAATTTAAATATGGTTGCTAGGTACACAAAAGGAGTACATTTGAGTACTAAATATAACAAGTTCAATTCTCAGTGCTCATCCTCATGTCGTCAGCATGACAGTATCTATCAGTAAGGAAAAGAGAGAGAGAGAGAAAAATAGAACAAGTAACTCTAGGCAAAGAACTAATCACAGATTCTCTCCCCCCCCCCCCGGGGGGGGGGAATGCAGTGTGGATTGAACATTGACAGGTAAAAAATTCTGGCAGAATTTTGAGGGAGAAACTGAAAATAAGAAAGAGAGAGATGATGAATGAAGGGGATTGGCGGAGACCTCGAATAGGGCAGTGCAGACTGTCAAGTTTTGAGATGATTCTGCTTGTCTATTTCAGTTAGGTAAGGAAAACTGAATTTTGCAATTGTCTATTTAGTCAGAACTTTCAATAAAAGTTTCATCACCACAAACTTATGGATATTCCAAATTCATTACTAGTTGGGTACAACCAATACAGTGGTGGGATTCAGTTTTTTTTTTTTACTACTGGTTCTGTGGGCGTGGCTTGATAGGCGTGCCAGGGGATGGATACTGCAAAATCCCCATTCCCTCCCCACCCCACTAACCTGCTTTCCAGCTCTGTTTTCCTGCACAGGGCAACCAAAGAAGACCCAGCTGATCAGCTGGGACTTGGGAAGCAGAGAATAGATGGGGGCGGGGCCAGTCAGAGGTGATATTTGCCCGTTCTCCAAACTATTCAAAATTTCTGCTACCATTTCTCCAGAACTGGTCAGAGCCTGCTGAATACCACCCCATATTTAAGGGAAATATTATACATGTTGAATTTTTAGATTGATTTTAGATTTTGAGATCACTTTGGAAAAAACTCAGTGCCTGAACACAGGTATTATAAAAGCAGGAACTTTACAATTTTTTTAAAAAAAAATTTGGTGAGTCTTTCATTCTCGTATGGAATATCTTTTTAATTTGAACATTATTTAGAAATATGGATTTTAATAATAAAACTATCTACAGCAGAGGTCTCCAAACTTGACCACTTTAAGATTTGTAGACTTCAGTTCCCAGAATTCTCCAGCCAGCATAGTAAGGGCTATTGAAATCAAGGACACATTTGTTGGGTTTTTAAATCAGGTTTGGCTCATAATGGGGCAAATCAAGCCTTAAAATATACACTGGAGCTGTTCTGATCTGCTACAATGCATCGTCCTGAATTTGCTCATTTTTGTATGCAGATTTTTTTTAAAGGTATGAATTACTCTGTAAGAAAAACTCTTCTGCGACGCAAGTGCTCATTAAAGTTGATGCAAATTATATATGATTATTTCTATAAAGAGGCAAGTCAGCTGAATTCATGACAAGAGGGAGGAAAAAAAATAAAAATCTGTTACTTAAACGATTGTTTACATCTAATTATCTCTTGCACATGTGTTACAAAATAGAATCAGAATCATGAATAAACAAAGAACAGCATAGTAACATTTGTCTATAGTGAATTGGTAAATCTCTCAATAACTTATGAATGTATACTGTTAAATTCTTGATTAATATGGTACTTTGTGTTCCTCCAGTAATAAATATCTCTCAATATCTTGGAATCATTTTTTCTGGGTAGGGTAACCAGAATTGTTATTGTGGGAGACCAATGGTTGGGTCTAAAAACTGGAAGGCTCTTTGACTCTTTCTGGACCAAGTGAGGTTATGAGATTACCCAAATTCTAGGGGAATTTGCCATGTTGTTCCAGCTGGAATTGGAATCTTCCAAAGGAGATTTAGTTCACACTTCCTTTGCTAACACGTTTGGAAATTGCTAAAAATTGCTTTCAAGAAGTTAGACACCTTCAAAATGACAAGGCTGGAAACACCAGTTGGATGCCATCAATCCTTAATATAAAGCTATATCTTATAGCCTTTAAGAATTAAGACTTTAAAATAAACAGCAAAAAAAAAAAAGTTTTGGCTACATAAATTTTTAAGTAGACTAAGGGCTCAGAAAATATTGGAATAGTTGATTGTAAATATCAAGACTGAAATTAATTATGAAGAATAAGTACAATTTTATGGGAAAGAAAACATAATTTTGATATTGGAGACATAACAAGAGAAACAACTTATAATGGTACACAGAAAGATTTTTGAGGAATTGCATTGGGAATTTGAATCAGTAATGTCAACTATGTTGTGTCTTCTTAAGAACAGCCTGTTCCCAGAAGAGGCTCTTACAAAAAAAGATATACAACAAAGTCTAACTGAGAATGTGAACAAGAATTTGTTATTAGACATAAAAAACAATATTGGACAAGGCTTTAAAAATTAGGAAGGAAATAAAAATGACAATTCCAGAGAGCAATTGGAATAATTTCTTTTTGCTGGAATTACAAAAAAGACTTTTTAAAGCTTTGAAGAAATTCGAAACAAAGATCAATAATCATCTGAATGGATTAAAGAGTATGATTGTTTAACCCAAAAGACAGAAAACAAACTTGGTTTGTTTGATAAGGGTTAAAATGGGAAATGTTATTTTGGGTTGTGCTCTGTGGATTTGCTGACATTTAGACTGAAAAAATATTGTGTATTGGATTTGTTGACACATGATAACATTTACATTTAAGTTTTTTCCCCCTATAGTTTCTTTCTGTATCCTAATCTGGTATCTAATTATTCTGGCTTGGTATCTATCTGTCCTTTCACTTAAAGTGACAGATTTTTGTGAGCTTGTTCTCTTTAAAGGAGAAATTTATCATGTTAAAGTTAAATCTTTGTTCATATTATAGTACTGGGACCACTTTATGGGATTATGGATTTCTTTTACAGTTAAGAGTTAAGATATGGAATGATGAGTTTTATATTTGTTAATGTTATTGTTCTAGGACTCCGTTTAGATTTTTTTGCTGACATCTGGATAGGAGAAGACTTTACCTATTGCATTTGCCTGTAGTTAAAGAGTTGAATTATGGAATGAAGAGTTTTATATTTGTTCATTTAGGGGAGATGAAAAGATAGTGAAATTGTTTATACAGGTAGTCCTCAACTTACATCCCTTTGTTTAGCGACTGTTCAAAGTTACAATGGCACTGAAAAAAAATGACTTATGGCTGGTCTTTGCATTTATCCCCAGGGTCACATGATAAAAATTGGAGTGCCTGGCAACTGACATGTATTTATGATGATTGCAGAGTCCTGGCGTCATGGGATCGCCAGTTGCGACCTTTCCACCAGCTGCTAACAAGAAAAGTCAGCGGGGGAAGCAGATTTGCTTAATGGCCATATGATTCACTTAACAACTACAGGGATTCAGCTAACAACGGTGACAAAAGAGGTTGTAACATTAGTTGTAACTCATTTGAGAGCTGCCTTGCTTTGCTATAGAAATTCTGGCCCCGGCTCTGATCATAAGTCGAAGACTGCCTGCACTTGTCACAATGAGAGTGAGAAGCTGCTTTCTTAGAGGTTTCCCCCCTCCCATTTTCTGTTTTTTTTCTGTTTTGTTTTCTTGCCACTTTTATTCTCTCTATTTTTTCTTTTCCTTTTGAGTTTATATTATTTTTCATTGCTGCAATTAAAACCTTTAATAAAATTATGAAACGAAAGCTATATATATATATATATATATATATGTTTTCTGAGGTTCTCGCGGGTATTTATATGTAGATCTTTGGTTGTTCGGGTTTTCTCCCGCGTAAGATTTGAAGTATCTAGGCAACGTTTCGATGAAGTCTCATTCATCATCTTCAGGCTTCTGTCTCCAGCTCTGTGCTTCTCAGAGTAATGGAGATTGCAGCTGCTTCCTCCTTTTAACTGCCAGTGGGGGTGGAACTTGATTGGGTGGGGGCTTGGCTGTGTTCTGATTGGGTGGGGGTGTGTTCTCATTGGTAGGGGGTTTGGCAACATCAAAAAACACAACATCAAAACAGCATTCTGCACAAACAAAAAAATATCCACCATCCTAAGAAACCCCAAAGACAAAATCGAATTAGAAAAC